CCATAACTCCCCACCCCACCCAGAGACATTATCAGCTACACAGGCCAAAAAAGCCGGTTGCCGATAATGTTAATTTTCCTTTTATTGGTCCTGATGGCAATATCAGTGTACCTCTACAATTAACAGCTTCCATAGGCTTGATCAAGCCCACAAAAAACCATTAACTCCATCCTAGACTGCTTAATAACATGTCAATTAGTGGCTTCCATGGGCCTGATCAGGGGATTAAGCCTGGGGAAGCCATTAATTGATGCGTTAACAAGCCCCAGTTTGGGGCCATCTGTCAATCTCCAGGGAGGGGCAGGACTTCCAGGACTCCTCAGGCAGAGGCATGGGTGGGGGGGCAGGGGAATGCCTGTTGTGAATATAGTGCCAAGTGCCACTCTCAAACCACGAAATTAGGTGGCAGCCACCCCAATCTTGGTAAGCTTCTACCTATGAGGGGTTCACAGTAATGTAAATCACTCAATCTACATAATATTTTGCAATATTGTATATGAAAGGTAATATACATAAAAACATGAATTTTATTATATTTAGAAACAAGCATTCAGCTCAATGGTTTTCATAAAAGAATCAATATGGAAACAGCTCAGGAAGTAAAATACAAACAAACCAAACCTTAAATTTTCAATTTGTACATACATACACACATAGCAGTGTTATTGACCAAAAGTTACTTCTAGCATTAGTGAGAAATATGAATCCATTAAAACATATCTGCACTAGGTAAGTTAAAAAGATATTTAACGTACCTCATCGAAGCTGCTATCGTCTTTCTTCAAGGCTTTAAAATAAAAGGGAAAGAGAAATAGTTATCTGTCATGCATTTCAATAAGCATAAAGTAGCCAACTTCAAGAAAGAGAAAAGTAGAACAACATTTTCTCACAGTAATAGGAAAGAAGAGACTAGACTGAATAACAATTTTATAATCAAAATATGAAACTATAAATGGAATGCACAATTGCACAGTATGTTTTCAAGAAATATTTTTCATAAATATGCAAATCTAGCTATCCTCTCATGGTGAAGGAAAATAAGAATCCACAGATTTTTACTTTAATTCCTATTGAACACGAACACTCTTCAAGGAGAGCCTGACTGAAATATAAGAAGTGTTCTGCAGTTCAGACCTATCAAATATACCTAATAATGCTGTCAGTTTATAGAAAACTCAACGTTTCCAATATGATGGAGCATGCATGGTAACAGGCATTCATCATACTCTCTGACTTATGTTAAGGTGGAAGCACAAATATCAGATATGGCATTAGTTTATTTGCATGCACACATCATAAGATAAAGGAAAAATTAAGATGGAAAAAAGATTTGGAGTGTGAAGTAACAATGCAAATGGGAGGGTGGGGGGAGTTATGAGTAGTTTTTCAGCTCTGGCAGAAGATAATCAGTTGAAAGCGTTTCCTTGGGTCTACTGAATACTTCTCCTGAAACGTAACCATAGTTAATTTCTTCAAATCCCTGCTGGAAGTATGTCACTCTGCAGATCAAGGATGCATTAATTTACCTACATAATGTGATCAGATCGTTCAGGAATTAGGTTCCATGAACCTGCTCTCTGTTGACTTCCCCTGAACAGTTAAGACAGGGGTCTATGTTGAGGCCAGTCCAAATGTTGGCCTGCCCAACTATCTAGGGCAGTCTACCCACCTGACTTTCCTGCCATGCCTTTCATGCAACTGAAAACTTATGCAGGAGGCTGTCCATTTAATGCCCTGATGCCAACGGCTCTGTGCCACTCCTACACCATGTCCCATGCCTCGCAGATGGCATCACTATATGGCTCCAGCCCCATACTAGGTCTCACTATATTACAGACTGACATTTGGACCCTACTCTAAATCCCTTCTACTCAGGTGGCCTAACCTCCGCCCTCATACTAGGCTGAAAACCCCCTAAACCCCTTTCTCTCTCAGCAGTGGCCCCCTCCAGGACCTTTAGCCTCACAGACCCTGGCCTCGCCTCTAGGCTAGTTGGGACTCCAGGCCTCTACCTTCTGGCCATCCCTCACAGTAGGTGTCCTTGCCCTTCAACCATCCTGGTCCTGGTCCCAGCATTGACCAGCCGAGGTTTTATAGGTAAGTTCTGGGCAACTAGCCCTCTCTTTCATACAGGTCCACCTTCTCAGGCCCCTCCACACATTATCCTCATTCTGCGAGCTTGTGAGCCACATAGTCACTCTGGACCCCTCCTGGGCCCGCCGTTCCACCCTCACTGGTCTCACTCATTCTCTCTGCCACTCACTGGGCCTCTACTCCAACCAGCCTATGCGCAGTCCTTCAGACCCTGATCTACATGGCCCCTGGTTCTCACTCCACCCCCTCACTAGGGTTTCTGGGCCTTACAACCCATGGACCCCACTCTGTGCGCCTTGGCCCTGTACTCTTCTGTCAGGGTGTGCTCCCCTAGCTGTTCCCCCTCACAGGGTCGCCTACCAGGCAGCGGGGGCTGAGACTTTCCAGTGCCCCACACTCACCTTTCACTGGGGAGGCACAGGTGTGGCATTTCCTGGAGACTGCCTTGCCACAGGCAGCCCCACCACACCATCCAACCTCAGCAGGGTGTAGTTTCAGGTCATGCCCCAGGACCAGGAACCTCTTCCATCCACATAGTTCCTATCCTTTACCTCCAGGTGTTCTGGGAACAGCAGTACTCCAGCCAAGAGATCCTCAGTTGCAACTGCCCAGCACTCCTCTCAGGGCTTGTGGTATACCCTGACTGCCTAGCCCTACACCAATCAGGTAGTCTCCTGGGTGGCATGTGACCTGATTGGGTCTGCTCCCACCTGCAAGCCAATCTGCAGCCTGCTCAAGCCCTTAAAGTGGCAGTCACCAAAGGTGCCCTGCCACACCAAGACAAGTGGCACAGGCAGCCTCTGTGTATGTCACACAGAAGATAAGGGACAGGACAGGCAGCACAGCAGCAGACTGAACAGAGAGCAGAAAGCACACCAACAGTTTGATCAGGGACTAAAAAGCAGAACAGCGGGTAGGGTAAGGGAAGGGGATCAGAGTGGCACTCAAGGAGGGTACAGGGCTAATTTATAGCACACCTGCCCAAAGGGTTAGTTCCCACTGACCAAAGGTATGTGAGCTATGTGAATTCTTATTAGCTGAGGTGATAAAGGTTTGTATTACTGAGAAATTAATATCCAGGCAGTTACACTTAACTACTACAAATTGTAACAGGGTGTAGGTTATAGCTGTTTTGGTCTAAGGCAGGAGTGGGCAAAATATGGCCTGCAGGACCTCTAAAAAATTTAGAAAATAAATATTTATCTGTCCTTGGTTCCTGTCAAAAATAGCAGGAGCCAGGGGAAGCCCCAGCAGGCTCCTGCAACAGCAGGGCCCGCCCGGTCCTGCCCCCCCAGCCGGAAGCCCCAGGAGGGGCTTCTGGCCTGGGACCATGTGGCTGCACCAGCGCCAGAAACTCAGGTAAGGAGTGCGGGGGTAGGGCAGGGGAGGACCCCGGGCAGGGAAGGAGCCTGGGGAAAAGCAGCCCCACCCCCACCCCGTGGCTGGCGCTCCCTGCTGCAGCCACTCACAGCCTGCACGAGGCCATCCTGAGCAGTCACAGGCAACCCCATGCAGGCTGCAAGAGGCTGCAGCACAGGGCACCGGCCACATGTGGGCAAGGGGCCACTTTTCCTGCGCTCAGCATCAGCTTGTAACCCACCCCCGCTGCCAGTCTGGGCCCCGTACCGGCTCCAGGCTCGCCCATCGGGACTGCACATGGTGGCATTAGCTGTGGCCCTCCTGCTTGCCATGCCGGGCAGTGTTTGCTGCTGCCCGCCCGGAGCTTGCACGCTGGGCAGCCCATAGGCAGCAGTAGCAAACGCTGCCGAGCACGGCAAGCGGGGCAGGAGCCACAGCTGCTGCCGCCACGGCACAGCCCCAGTGGGCAAGCCCAGAGCCAGTGCGGGGCCCAGGCTGGCAGCAGAGGTGGGTTACAAGCTGGTGCTGAGCACGGGAAAAGCAGCCCCTCACCCGACCGTGGCCAGCGCCCCGCACTGGAGCTGCTCACAGCCCGCATGGGGCTGCCTGTGTCTGCCCAGGACAGCCCCCCTTGTGGGCTGAGAGCAGCTGCAGCAGGGAGCACTGGCCACAGGGTGGGGGAGGATCCGCTATTCCCCACGCTCAGCACCAGCTCCTTCCCTGCCAGCGAACAGGGAGTCAGGGCTGCATGCTGGCCCCCCACCTGTACCGCAGGGTTGGGGGGGGGCACTGGAAGTGAGCAGGTGCGGGAGTCAGTCAGAACATGGGGCCTGCACTGGTGTCCCGGGGCCAGTGCCGGCGGGGCCCAGAGCAGGGCAGCAGGAGTATAGGGTCCCAGCTGGCAGGGGCTCTATGGAGCTGGGCCAGCTCCCCCATCTCCCTGCTGGTGCAGCCTAGCCCAGCTCCACAGACCCCTGCCAGCCAGTGCCCCACTTTGGGCCCCACTGGTGCTGGCCCTGAGACATTGGTCCCAAGACATTAGGACATTGGTCCTAAGATGGTGACCAGGGGGTGGGGCACCTGTCAAGGGGCGGGGCTACCCAGGTGGCCCTTAACTGCTTGCCAAAACTGGGTAAGCGGCCCTTCACCCAAAATAATTGCCCACCCCTTGTCTAAGGCTATAGGCAAACAAAGTTCTTTGGGAAAATCTGATATATTTTATTAGACCAACTCAAACAGTTGATAAATTTCTTCTTTGCAAGCTTTCAAGTATGAATACCCTTCGTCAGGCTAAGGCAGACCAAGTGCAGATGATTCCTCAGCCTGAGGAAGTCTTTTTGTACCTGAAAGCTTGCAAAGAAAATTTTTTCAAATTATTTGAGTTCGTCTAATAAAAGATACCAGATTTACCCAAAGAACCTTGTTCGCCAAATTCTAACAGACATTTTAATTTACCAAAAACATTCAGCAATGCCTTCCTTCATTTCATCCACTTAGAAACCTATGTCAGAAGGAACAGCATTAAAAAAAATTCCCACAAATCAAATCATAGATTATGTTTTGAAGTCTTTTCTGTTTTGGTGCTAGCATAAATATACCAACAATGTTTTTATTTGGTTGTTGTTTGTTGTTGTTAGACAAAAACTTTATCCCATACAATATTGACATTTAAAGCATCATTCTACTGGATAATCATAATTATCTCATTGTTATATTATTTTTGACACACATTTAATCAGTCAAACCTCTTGTCTGATGTTCAAATACTAACAGGCACAATTAATTCAATTATTTACCATACTGCGGAACACATTAATTTAAGGGATTATACATTTTTGTTTGTCAAATCAAGCAACTAGAACTTCATGTACAAGAGGGTCAAATTAGTTTGCCAAATCACACACAGCAAAAGGCTAGCAAAAGAAACTAATAACTGTGTAAATATTTATATTTCTTAGAAGATCATAAAGAATAATTTCTATTTTTGAGTACATTTATTAGTAGAACAGTTTTTACAACCAATGTATTCTTTCAGGTGGTAGAAACGTTATAGTCTTTAACATCCACTGAACAGTAAAAAGCTGCAATCCCAATACAGGAAATCTTAAATCAGCACAGAAGTAGTACAAACTTTTTTCAGTACACCTCACATCCAGACTGTCATCCAGCAGTTTGCAGATACTGTAGGACGAATGATCAAAGACAGACTGTTTGAAGCAAGATGTGTTCCAGCATAATGAAATAATCTCTCAAGAACAGGTACTATAGATATTATGGGCCAGTCTACAGCGAGAGATGGTGGGGTATAACTAGACATGGGGTCAGCAACCTACAACCTGTGGACTGAATCTG